GTAATCTCATCAGGGGAGTTTCACCATCTATGACGAAACACGAAAACTGACCATCCAATGCCCATTCAATATCCATTAAAATATTTCAAAGCTGACCAGCAGTGGACACAGGCAGGTGGAGAATGACACACTGACCACCTCTGCATCCAAGCTGACCGCTGGGGACGTCATCCTGTCAGGTGGATATCAAGACTTTCCTTGTCAACCATGGTCGCTTAACTGGCCATGTCATCCCGGCTACTAATTAGTTATCATTAGTGACAATAAAAATAACTAATGAGGATTGTGAGGGGGACAATGGCTCCATTTGCTTATCAGGGGCACCTGCTAATACCCTTCTGGCCAAATACCAGGGGCTATCAGTCAGTCTGGACGGGCAAGATAATATTCATTTTACTGACGGCAAGAGAGAATTTCTTTCAAGTCTGTATGCAGATAAGCCACTGATGTGTTCAAAAATATTAAAATTATGAGACATTTTGAAACAGATGACTTAAGTCGTACAGTCATTTTTACTGTAAAATTTTTAACTATTAATGAAGACAGTCTCTGATGTAAGTGATGACATCAGTGTAATTTCCTTGACACAGTAGAGTTAGGGCATTACATACTATTTTTAAAGTTCATTTTATAAAACATTTTAACAAGATTCAATACAAATATATTAAATTAATTTACAAAACAATAAAATAATTTTTTCATTGATTTGCCTTTTTCCCAGAAAATGTTTCTTGGCTTCATTTTAACTTTATTCTAAATTTGATATATGACAAGAAAGTGTTTTATTGTCTTCAACTAACTCTTCATTTACATTGTACTCACCAACATCAAAAATGTTCTCATCAAAAAAAGTTGAAGCAAAATGTCCACAGCAAATGCTGCACATGGAATATTCATATGCCATGACATGCTCTATGCCTTAATGACAATACTTGGAGTGTCAGCTATTCACATTTATGCTAGAATTTCATGTATTAACAAATTTTGATGTAGAGACATGACTACGCATACATACCAAGTTAATTAGCTGGAGTACTTGACATAACAGTGTTATCACACTGAGGCACAACCCAACACAATCACTGTCACAGCAAACACAATCCACGCCAATACATGCAGGGGCCAACACACTCACTTCTCATGTTTTTTTAATTTAGTCAGATTCTACTGTGTGTTACAAAGTATAAACAAATAAGCAAATAAGAAACATCACCTTTTATAATTTGTTTTACACTGCTATATTTTTTTGTGCATCAAAAACTGATAATCTACTGAAATGTGCTCCTGAATAGCACTTCAATCAGATAAATTGCGATTTCATTTTTATTAAATTGAAATCAAGTATTTAGCTCATTTTGGTCCAGCCTTTAGGGACACCCTGTACAGCAGTCTGCAAGCCAAGGTACTTACTTGTCAACTTTTCTGTCAACAGCCCAGTTTGCCCAATGGACGAATGTCCCCATGGTTCCTGAGAGGAGATCTCCCTGTCCCCCACATCTCCTAGGACCTCCCTCAGCACTGCACACTAATACTGGAATATAGGACACAGTGTTTACAATGGTATAGTAAAGTTCACATAGTGGACAAATGTAACCATGAATCTAGTCACTAATTCTCTCTCTCTCTCACTATGTGTGTGTGTCACACAGTGGACAAATACAACCATAAATACAGACCTTGATTCTCTCTCTCTCTCCGTGTGTGTGTCTGTGTGAGAGTGTGTGTGTGTGTGTGATATAGTGAAACTGTTGTACATTCTCTGTCCTGCCCCTCCCCTCTCTACCTGGCTTTTAACTCTCTCCCTCTCTCTTTCTGTACTATTTGCAAGGATTTTCCTTTTTAATGAATACCAAACCACTCCAACATATAGGACTGACTACTTTACAACACATACAAAAATAATGATACTGTGATATAATTTCAATTTCTGATTACAGGTATACAGAAATCAATATTTACGTAACAAGCCATTAACAGTAATGACTGCAATGAACTATATAAGAATACCCTATATATAGCAATATCATGAGATAGATACAATGATCTCTACTTCATATTTGTTACAATTAATGAACATAAGAGTGACTGTAGCCCCTGAAATATCTTATGAGTCTTCCTCTTATTTTTAACACCTCCAACAAAAGAAGCTTGGAAAACGTGCTAATTCTGATGTCACAGATATCTACCTTGGTACTAAGTATTATGTACTATTCACTAGTTGTTTTCTTATACTGTATTTAACACCTTTCCTGAGTCAACATCTCCACTATAAAAGGAGATGGAAAACATATGCTAGTTAAGGACAGTCACCATATATACTCTGAAATTCAGGGCATTATGGTACTTACAATGGTTGATTAACAAAGAGACTCCAACAATTGTTAGCATTGAGTTCGAAAAGCCATAGTTCTCAGACAACAGCTTGTGTCCAGCTCAAAAGTCATAGTCATCTTTATTAAAATTTCATAAGCATATATAACACGCAGAAAAGTAAAAATATAATTTTGTCACGTATGCCATTTCATTTAGCAAGTGAGAAACACCGGGAGGCAATCCTTCCACGCAATTAAATACAAACATACCTTGAGATGTTTTTTTTTAATTAAAGGACCTTTTTTTTATTATATAAATCCCCCCTCCATGGTGACTCATCTTACACCCGGAAAATTTCCTCTATCACAATACTTCAGGCTACATTTCAAATTTACCTGAAATAGCTTAATTGGGGACAATGCACCACAGTGATTTTCTACTGTTATCTAATAATTGTAGTGGTGATTGGGGTCTATTGTAGAATTATAGTACATAAGCTGTATACATTGCACCAGTAACTGGGTAAGAATGTAGTTCATATTACTGTAAAATATACAATTTTCCATATAAAGAGGTGAGTTCAAAGTTTTATTTTTTAACAATAAAAATAAGTTTTTTATATGTCCACCAAATTAATACTGTTTCAGTTTTTACAGCATATCACATCTTTATAATCTACACTTACATCAACTGTATGCATGCAGTACTAACAAAATTGTACAATTAAAATCAGTTGAATTAGATTACACCTCTTACTTTGCAAAATGACATGAATTCTGAACCACGCAATTGCAATGAGCAGCAGAATTAAAGACTCTGGGAAAAATGCTACAAGGCTATATCATTACACAAATTTTCCTGATGCTACAGGGCATTTTTCATTTCCGATTATTTCTAATGCTTGGTGAGTCATTCAAGAAGTGATCGTAGAATCTGTCACTACAATGATCTCTTACTATTAATTGATACTGATACTTAATGCATTTGCATTAAACAAGTAGTTCCCTCACAGCTATCTTGTAACATATATCCCTGATAAAAAACATCGCTAAAATAAGTTAATTAAACCAAGGGGAATACGCCTCCTCAACTAAACACTTTCTCTTCATTAACGGTACAACTCATGATAAAATGACACCTTTGGTTAAATACTCTGCTGAGATTTCCTCGTAATTCCCAGAGACTCCCTACCTAGATCAGCTAGCCTTCCTCAGTGGTGTTATGTTCTTGTAGTAGATGGTTTCTGAGAAACTATTGTTACCCTGCAGTGTTTCCTGGAGTGTCCATTCACAGTGATGCTTTGACATGGATATCCATCATTGTGGAGGTCTTTTTCTCTGCCTCTGACATGATCAATATGTGGAAATGACTCTTTCAGACAACTTTCAATAAAAGGCAGGTAAAAGAAAAACCTCGGGAGGTCTAACCTATTCTTCTACGTAATGTTGATACAGATAGAATGTATGTTGTGATAAAACTATTTCAATAAAGCCTCAGAAAGGAGACCTGAGACCTAGACCTATTGGACCAAATACTACAACAATAAGTATGGCACAGTCTGAAGTATACTCATGCATTCTTACCAATTACAAAATAAGATAAAAATCTATGCTGGCAAAATTATACCAATCAAGAAATGTGGGGTAGATCTAGCTGCTTATTTTGGTGTCAAAAGCCCAACATCATGTAAAAAAATAACAAAGGAAATATATATAAACAAGCATAGGTCAAACGAAGAAAAAGAATTCGTAGTAATAAGAAGAATAAGGACTTATAGACCTGCTTGGCCATGCCGCAAGCAATAAAAATGTGAATGCTTGCAGTTGACAACACTGTATACTAATGATAATAGTTACAAAAATCAACAACATTTTAGGACATGGTGTACCTTGGAGATTTTAATCACCTTTAAAGAGGAATGGTGTAAATTTCCAGGAAAATCTCAATTTTTAATAAAACATTTTGCAATACAAAAGTCTAATGTTCACTGTGTACCTCTTAACCTTTTGCTACACCAATACACCATGTAAATCCATTTTAGCAAATCAAAAATGAAACTTAAAATTTAAAAATGCTTATGACGAAAAATAGCTAAAATACAACAGAACAGAACTATATGGAGACATCGCTCACCTGCATAATATCTTCAGTACATATGCAATGTCATTAATGGGTTGTCATGAAACTGTCACTGTGTTCACATAACCAAGTAAGTCATACATACATGTATATCACAATGGGTGCATTCACAACAGCAGACTAACTAGTCCGAGGATCAAATATAGAAACCCACTAAAAAGCTTGCCGTCCAATCCACTAATAGACACTGAATAGATCCCCCGTTTGGAAGTATTCAAGTGGGTCGGCCATATTTGACCCTAGGACTAGTTAGTCCACTGTTCTGAATGCGGCCAATGTACATGATGTACCAGCACACAGCAGGGAAAATATAATCATCTTAGAAAAACCAAATAAGCTCCACAGTGTGACTGTGACTACTGCATATGTAACTTCTTCACACATCAATACACAGCATGTTTTTCCAAGCAACGGATAATTAAAAAGACACCACCTTCCGCGCTTGCTCAATACTATGTATCAAATATTAATTGTAGTGGCCACTGAGGTTTGGAAATTGTCATCGTGGGCAGGTGCAAGCAGTGTACAGATAATACCAGATGAGTCTTTTCAGAGATACAGCAGCTTTGTCATGCAGTGTTGAATGTGCATGAAGAATCATGCAGTACTAAAATCAATTTTTTTCAATTAAGGTGGGAATGTAGGTTTGAGATTTTCTCTTAAAATAAAGGTCTTGGCTTTTTTATTCCTGTCACATTCATTTAATGCATCTTCAAAATATCTAATTATGCTTGGAACACAGCTCCAACTTCATCGTGTGACGTAATATTGGGATTTTGGGGACAAAAACACCATTTTTATACACCTGATTTTCTCAGGCACCTGGACAGCTATAAACTTGCTTTTGATGGCATTATAACACTTGAACAAAGTACTACAGCATGGAGTCAGGGATTTTTCTTCAGACACTTATTGTTGATTTTATCTATAAAAACGTGAAATTACATCAAAATTTTAGGGAATTTTCACTTTCAAAGTCTATAAATTAGAAAAGAGAGGATCAATCAAAATTTCTCAAAAAGCACTTTTAGTGCATACTTTTCATAATTAGCATGGTGAATTTGGTCTCCCTCAGGTGTACAGGTAGACAGTTATAGCTTGCTAAGATAACGCTATCTCGTCAATATTGAAAGCAAAGAAAACGAGCAAAAACCCTTTCAGGGAGGTTAATTGTCCAAATTAGCAAATTAAATTGTTGACAGCTTTACCTGTTATCGTTCTGACGATCGCGAAGATGGGTACTCTATTGCCGGTTGAAATTAGCTTGTTTGCATGCATTTGGATGTCTTGTCCACATTCGCTAAGCGAAAAATGGTTCGAAACCATGGTCGTGTTACAGGACGCCGATCGAACCATCAACAAGAAATAGACGCAACCAAAAAGGCTTTGTTAGAGGAAATATCTAAAGTTGCACCCCGATGCTTGGGCCGAATTGCCCAAGTTGCATAGATAATGAAGATTTTTAAAATGTAACAACTGCATCGAGCTGTTGTCGAAAATGGATAGAAAGTATGACGATTGTTGTCACGGGTAGCAAGCAACGGAATTTTCTTCTATTTTTTGCGTATCTCAAAAAGTTAACAAGAAAATCGAAAGAGCGCGTGTAACAACAAGCAATATTCAAGGGAGAACGCGCATTTCGAGCAAATCCAATGTGTCGGAAAAGATTCATCTTAGCGCTGATCACAATCAAGAGCGACTATCAAAACAGCTTAAGCGGAACAATAGGCAATGCTTTGCCGATCGCTGTTTATGACAAAGGGGACATGGCGCATCCCTGTTCTATTGTTTCCCTGGACGTACTGATGCTGCTAAGGCCCGCCCACCGAGTTTACCCATGCCAACGGCTCTTGACAACAAAGGCGGGGCATAGACCAGGCCACCGGTGCCAATGTGTGCAGCATCACAATCCTCAGAAAAAACATATTTTTTGTTCAAAATGTAAAAATCTTATTCTGTTAAACGTTAGATACACATTTAACCAATAATTAGACATAAAAAAACAAAAACTAGAGGATCAGAGAGGCGATACCGCCTCCGAATATTGTACCACCAGCTGGAGCAAGCACATTCTTATAGACCCCCACATACACAAAAGAAGGGACACAGCCACCAGTCTTATGCTTGACAAGCTGNGATTCTAAGACAACAAACCCCCCCTCATGCAATGACTTATTACCAAACATATATACATGTATACAGAAAGACTATACCCAATCAATAGCAGATGACAATTTATATTACAATATGCTGAAACCTTATAAATTTCAGGTCATGTCACATACCTTCTTATTTATCTGTGAAAACTAATAATAATTTGCCAGAATATGTTCCGATTCATCGACTAATTCCACAGAAAAAGCTGACCTTTCACTACTGTGGCCTAGCAGAGAGTGTTCTAGAGGAGGGAAGTGACATTTTGTCACAGCCGGAACTTGGTTTGATACACTTGGCAGGTCTGAAATTACCTGTCATTGGTTGACTCTTTGATACTGTAAATCTGATTTTAAATGCAGTCAGGATTTTTATCACGTCATTCTGTGTAGAACTCAGAGGAAGTCGATCACCCATACTGACCACATGAATGGTTGATGCCACATGAATGTAAAAGTACAAAAGAATCGGCACAAGAGTGATTTAGTAGACGACAATTAATGAAGATGAAAAGTAGAATCATGATAATTCTTCAACAAAAAATTACATTTAATTAATTTCATTTACATCAAAATATACCAGTGGTAAAAAGGTGGTGACAAAAAAGTCAAACAAGCTCTGTTAAATTGGATTTTACAGTTATCTGATATTTCACGGTTATTTCCATCATGGTAGTAGAAAAATGGAGGACATGCAATCTGAGACCATTTCCGATTCTAATCGCTCGACTGGGTTAGCTGTCACCAAATGAAAAATGATTAATAGAAATCATCCAAAACACAGAAATCACCCAGTCTTAAAGTCTGCTGCCATTGTGAAACCAAATATGGGGGTTGATAGAAATCTTAACATTGATCTCAAGAATAAAGAAAAATCTGTAAGAATTATGGGTAGAAAAAAAAAATAGGTTTAAGTATTTGATTTAAGCAACTGTGTACACATTTAACTTATCTTAAAGGCAAAATGGGTTGAAATACCTAATCTAACTTGCCTTAAAATATGTATTCTTTCAACATAAAACTTCTAAACATGAATCAAACATGTAATAAGCATTTCTTATGTACTCCAGACTTTTTTTGAGATTATCAAAATTTTACCGATGGTATGAAGACAAATATGAAAATATAAAAAATTATAAGTTAGAGCCGCAAAATATCAATTACAGAAATAGAAAAAGAGATAAAAATATCAATCTCCCTACTAAGACTTATCAGCTAAAATAAACATTTTGTACATGAGTTCCATTTCTTGTCATTCTGATTCAAGCTGGAAATAAAATCATGTCACTGGATGGTTATCAATTAGCAGCATGACTAGTACGGAGATAACCAGGGGATGCTAACACCATTTTCCAAATCCTGTAATATTTCTGAACAAAGACCTGCCAGTCACTTGAGCCCTACCTGAGTAGATATTGTGATTACAAAAGCTGAATTAAAATGAAAGGTAAGAAAAATCTAATTTGCAACATGAATAAGCATCCGGTGCTGTCCCTATCTGAGGAAAGAGGGTTAAATAATCTAAATTATCATGTGATCAGGTTTCTAACATAAAAACTCAAATGTGATGTTTATTTGAAATTAATTTGATCAGTTCTGCAGAAAAAAAAGGAAAAAAACTCCAGTTATCTTCGGTCTGCTGAGTAGCACTATCAAAGAAAAATATAAAGAAAGACTGAAAAAATTCCAAAGGGAAAAATTGCTAGACACCTCTTCATCAACATTTTAGATCAAATGATCTCATATATCAACTAGCATCCACATTTGTATCTTCACAAATTTCTTGTAACATTAAATGAAATATTTACATCTCTGTTACTTTTTTATCTGAATTATTGAATCCCCTACAGGGCTTACTCTAAAAACTGTATTATTGTACACAAAACATTTGGGCTAAATTATCTGTGATACAAATTTTTAGGACTGAAACTACTGAGAACCATCTCATCATTTCCACATTTTCTCTTGCTCCCCTCTCTCTCTCTGCCTAAACTAATACGTAGTTCTTTCATTTATGCATTCAACCTCAAAGAATTAAATTGTACCAAAAAATACAGCAACACCTGATCACAAATACATGCTCTTAGTCATAATGCTATCACGCCTCCAGACACCTGAATTCTTCTACATCTAGTTAAGTGAAAATGGCAAAACCTTTTTTTAAACTGCTAATACTACAGTTCAAAAGCAAATGAAAAACCCTAGTTTTCTCACTGGTCTTAATTGATCCAGTAATACATTTGAGTGGCCAAAGCTTTTAACGCCAGTCTAGATCTGGTTCTCTCCACTCTGCTGCCCTGTGATAATTAATGCTTTTAGGAAAGTGTTGGTCATGCAACAGGGCATAGAAAACCCGAGTTATAGGTCCACATTCAGAATAGATGATCCTAGTTCTAACTGATCCACGGACCAAATATAGCCAATCACACTTCAAAGGAGATACTGCTAATTCCTGATGGTCTCCCCCTCTGCCTCCACCCGCACCATTAAACGGATTAAATCTCGACTCCGAGATTTAATTGCTAGGCTCCTGCAGTGATGGCGCGTGGATCATCTTTTCTGAATGGGGCCTTAGAGTCATAGCTGCAAGTTTCCTTTTAGAAACATAGCTGTCATACTGAATTCAAAAATATTCAGTGGAGAGGAGAGTCACAGCCTAGCTGTGCCCTGACATCCTGACTGGATATATCCATCTGACATTAATGCATTTGGTGTTATCTGCTTTATTTACAAATGACAAGGGGGCAAAAATACAGCTACATCTCCTATATATAACTTCCCATCATACTGATTACACTATTACAGAAACAGTGTGTTACAAATAAATTTATAAGGAAATCAGACATTATATTTAAAAATATAGTAACAAATTCTACAGAGGGCAAGTATATAAAAAGGTTATGTAGCTCACCAGGACAACCTCCAACTGGTAACTGTCAAGTTACTTCCATCGCAGTTTTTCCAATGATATTACTCTCTTATAAAGCAGGTCTCTTTCCTGCTATTTCCAAATAGGAAACGAGCAGCTTCCTGCAACAACTACATCTGACATCAGAATCAATATCAACTATGGTTACACAGTCACTATACATGTGCAGGTAGAGGAAAATTCATCTGATTTAAAATTTAATAAAGCTAAATCGTAATCAAACCAGAGTCTGCTAACCCCCCCTCCCCGAGGACCCCCAACTCTTCCAATATCCTAGGCCAGCCATTGTGCAGTCTGTGCAATTCATCAAAACAGGAAAAACAATTATGACTATTAATATTAAACAAACATGGTATTCTTTGACTTTTGTAGGAAGCAAAGGTTCACCATCAGTGTGAGGACTGGTAACACTGTTTTTATCTTCTTGAAGCCTTTCAACCTAATTTAAGTACTTTTTGACAGTTCTATTAAGTGCAGACAATGTAACATAGAGATGTCAACATTCAAATGTAAGGCAAAGCAATTTGTTTGTGCCAACTACACAGGTGAAGAAACAAAACACTGTCATTTTACACCAACCAAGAGAGTTACCTGTGAAGCTATAGTGTAATGTGAAAGAGATCTAACTGGTAACAAGGATCACCTTACACATTTCCATCACATCAAGTATCAACTGAAAAGATATTTTTGGCTTTTATTCACATTTCATGACTTTAGTAGTCCCCTTAGAACTGGATTGCGTTAGAGGTGCTGCAACTAGCAATAGACTAGTGAAAGATACAGGTATTGCGTTAGAGGTACTGCAACTAGCAATAGTGAAAGATGCAGGTGACAGACCTTTATTCCCATCTGAAATGACATCATGGTCTCCCTTCTGCACTATGGTGACATTCCCAAGGGCCTTGGACAGCTGGGTGACATTCTCAACTGCCTCTAATGGGTCAGGTTTGTGGCCCATCTGTGGAATTTACATGTTTTTATGAACATTTTCTCAAATCCAGTGCAAAAATCTTTGGAAACTGAGTCAGATAATATTGTTTAATTGTATTATATTTAAAAAAATAAATAAATAAAAAAGATGTCTAATACAAAAAAAAAAAATTTTTAATTTGGCTTAAAAAAAACAAAATAATAATTATAATAAGCCTAACATTAAAGAAAGGTATATATTTTAATATTTTAAAAACTGAAAATTTACCATTTTTTGAAAAAGTCTTTCAAATTCCACAACATTGGGTGTCAGTATTGTCTTGGTGTAACTCTTTATCACATCTGGGTCCTGGGTGACCAGGAATAATCCATCCTGTAAATATAAAAGGAAGATATAACAAAGTGAAATCATGATAAACGTACCACCAGGACTGCTGATGGCAACTTTGGTAGGTCTTTAGACATTATTTCTTAAGGGGTTTTCCAAAAGATCATAATCAAAAATAACATATGGAAATAAATAACGTAAATAATGTTGAACATCTCCTTCTTTGGTCATGTTAAATCAGTAGTGTACAGGGAGACAAATACTCGTATAATACATTCAAACTGTAAGCTCCAATATGTGTCAAAGTCCAGCATTTGATAAACATGTTAATGCAAATTACATTCTAGGTTTCACCAATCCTAATCTGAAACCATATCACTGTCTCCTCTCATAAAACAAAGACAAAACAATAATATAAAGAAGGTTGTACATGTTATTACTTACAGCATCTATAACGAGTGGTATTTCAAGTTCCTTGGCTTTTTCTATCACACCCTGCAATTAGACACATAGACATTTGGTGACTTCTAAACATGGAAAGGGTATATCTTTGAAGCATGATTAAAAACAAGAATGTAATTTAAACTTAATATGTTTTTAAAAATACTAAGTTAAAATGACACCTTTGAAAAATATAAATACAAATATATATATAAATAAGACATGTAAAATAAAATAAAACAATATAATTTCCAGTTTGATATTTTTAAAATCTTGCTGATACAAATTTCAAATGATGGAAAATCAGTAATTTGTACAAGTTTTTGAAAATTGATGACTGTCACAAAACTTTATTATAAAAACTGTTTACTCTATACTTGTGTGCTGTGCTTTATATCGAACCTTAACTGTCTGAAGGATAGGGGCGGTCCTCCCCAACCCTGGACCAATCACCATGCTCTGAAACCTTGGCAACCACTGATTGACTTCTGTCACAGCAGAGGGGTGGTCACTGACAGTAAGAATAAAAGGTAACATAATTTTTTTTATATATTTTCACGGAACTATTGTCTTCAAACAACAGACAACTGGTATAAACAGAAATTTTGCTGAAATTTGAAGAAGAGAATTCAGGCTTAAAATACAGTAAGATATACAGTACAGCACGCAAATACAGTGTCACACAAATGTACTTAAATAAACTGTGACCAGAGGTAAATATTACTGTAAATGCTTCTGATTCTGCTTTAGTGCAGTAGGTAATTGGATCCTGGGGTCCTGAACAACCTGCAGGCTACACGTTTTTCTGACAAAGACTGTATAAAGATCATTTTAACTTTGGTGATTTTAGTTTTTTTACTGCTGCAATGATCTGCACATTTATTGTGTCTGGCATTTTTATGCTATAAACAACCACTATCAACTTCTGATTTTCCATCAAAATTCTTACATTAAATTTGAGATGTTCATACAAGCCCATTACCGCTGAAAGTGTTTGACCTTGTTACCATTAACATAATACTTCTTTGTTTCTGTAAGTGTGCTGTCCTGTATACCTTTACTACTTGTGTTTTAGCCTCGTTAAGCCCCAAGCCTGGCCCTATGACCACAGCATGGACAGGGCCAAAATCCCCAACAGGTGGCAGCCAGCTCGCTATCTCCTCTACTGCATTGGTGGCATCACTGGAATAAAGTGACAGAATGACCTTCAGAGTGCTACCGATTAAACCAATCTGCAAGAATGTTGGTAATATTGAACAATAACATTGATTTAAATACAAACACAGTACTCACAGAATAGGGTGAACAATGAGCTCAGGGCTGTAAGACTTGATAACTGTGGCAGCATCTCTGGTACAGAACACATGGGACAGGTCTGCTCCCTGGAAGATAATGATCTTTGTCATCACTGGTCCCAAACACCTTCCCACCCAGACATGCTGAAACTGTCGGTCCGATCAGTCATGACCGGCAAAATTTGTCTGGACCGGTAAAAAATTGGACTTGGTTTTCAGCATGTCTGCTCCCCCCCCCCCCCCCAATTTACAACTTATTTTTTAATCTTTAGAAGGTTTGAACCAAAATAATGATAAGAATGAGACATTACAGCATTATCAACAAATGTTTATACAGTAAATCAAAAGAAATGTAATATTTACCAGTTTCAAAGCTGAGATTGCTGCAAAATATGGAGCCCCAGTGTACCTAAAACAGACAATTTAAATTAGAATAAAACAGCATAAGTCAGAATAACACAGTTAAGTTGTTGCTTAATATAAATATATTATTAACTCCTGTTACAAAGGACTCACAATTCCTACATTACTAGCAATACCAGAGGCTTAACTGCCTTCTATTAAATAATAAATACAATCACATTCCAAGCTGACCAAATCAAAACCTTTCATGCTAACTTCATCTTGCTCGCTTACTCCTGACATCCTCCCACCACTGCAATGCGACCTGCCTGACCTTTATGAAGGTCAAAAGTCAACGGTGGAATGATTGCTTTCACCATGTCCAGCATTACGGCACTGTTCACGAGATGATCAGCCATGTGTCTCTTCAACGGAGGAAGACCTGGAAGGGCAGTGAAAGAAGTTAAAAGCTGATTGAGTTACATAATGCTAATTTTGAACATTGCACAGATTTGCTATAATTTCAAAAATATGCTTTCCTTTTAATGTAATAAATTATGATCACTCCCCCCCCCCCAAAAAAAAAAAAAACAAAACAAAAAAACATATTTTAGGTGAGGCATTTATTTGGTCAAAATGAAGCAGTCCAGCCTATCTAAAGACCTGAATAGCACATAAGGCTGAATACAGTGGCAGAGTATATGTGCAAAAATAATTTGCTGTGAACCTTCAATTTCCACCCTAATCAGCTGCACTATGTTTTTAGCATTTAAGGCCAAAAACTGAGGAGAATATGCACTGTGAAGAAGTGCACTAATTTACAGATATGTGTAAAATATGCATCTAGCAAACTGTGCTGGTTAGCAAGTAAAAAATTTTCCTAAGTCTGTTACAAATACTGGTAATTAAAGGTTTACTTCAGCAAAATATGTTCGTTACTCAAGTGGGAGAATATGCATCAACACCTACATGTACTGTAGTATGAAATTCATGTGTTAGCTATTGCCTATGCCCCTTGAAAGCATGTGTATGATAGGTATACCTGGTAGACAAGCAGATGAATCTTAGACAGGGTTCCCAGGCCTAGATCGTTCTAACAGGATCAATCCATCTCCAAGGGGTTTCTCTTTAAATTGCTTTCAGCTTAAGCAGCTAAGAGGTCTAGCATGCCTACTAGTACTGAAGCTGCTAAATCATAATGATAGTTAATTATTCCTTAACAGCTTCAGTAGCGTGACAGATATTTAAGCCAGTTAATTAAGTTGATAGCAATTTAGAGAGAATCCCCTCTGATCCACTTGTACAATTAGGGTCTGGAAATGGTCCCTTGCCTTATGCCTCGCTCTACTGATGGAAAGACTACGTTGGTTTTACAGGAGTGTGTGAGGTGTTGAGATGAGAGGGAAGGTAAAAATTTGCAAGGTCCGTCATCAAAGCTGATGTGCAAACTGGTCGCCGTTTCACACCTTTGAAGGCCTTTGCTTTCACGCATTAGAATGTACCATGGCCCATAGGAGCCTACGCGTGCGTTTTTTAGACGCCCCTTTACATGCGAAAACGACAAGGCCTAGGCCGAGTTCGTCTTTTAATACAGAGCTTTGAAAGCCGAAAATGACATGGCTGTGTCTCATTTGCCACTTACTGAACTCCATAGATGCGAGATTGACACGACCCATGTCGCGTTCGTCTCTCAAATGACACTGTTATAAAACATTAAATAGGCATGACATGTGTGATTTTCGCAGCTGAATAAGTACACCCTTATAAGTTGACGTGACCTTGAGAGTCATGTCGCTTTCAACTCTTACAAACCTCCAACAAAATGTATCTCCACACAGACGCGCGCGACATGTACTGTTGGACATGGGTCAGTTGAAACCCTATTAACCTAAAGGGCTCATGTTACTTTCAGCCAATTAATTTGAAACATAAAGACCGTCTTAAAACCCTTTATATTTGAATCATTGAAAATAAAATTGTGAGGCCATATAATTATTACAAGCAATTAGCCACACTGTTATCTAGATAGCACTAAATTATGAGAGGGATTCAAATGAAAAAATGTTTTGGGACAGCACTTCTGTTTCAAATTAATTGGATTTGACATATAAGAGTTGGCTGAAAGTAACATGAGCCCTTTAATAGGGTTAATAGGGTTTCAACTGACCCATGTCCAGTAGTACATGTCGCGCGCGTCTGTGTGGAGATAGATTTTGTTGGAGGTATATAAGAGTTGAAAGCAACATGACTCTCAAGGTCACGTCAACTTCGTTTTTAAGGGTCTTCTTATTCAGCTGCAAAAATCACACATGTCATGCCTATTTCATGTTTTATAACAGTGTCATTTGAGAGACGAACGCGACATGGGTCGTGTCAATCTCGCATCTATGGAGTTCAGTAAGTGGTGAAAGAGACACAGCCATGTCATTTTCGACTCTCAAAGCTCTGTAGTAAAAGACGAACTCGGCCTAGGCCTTGTCGTTTTCGCATGTAAAGGGGCGTCTAAAAGACGCACGCGTAGGCTCCTATGGGCCATGGTAAGAATGGCCTCAAAAAGTGTAAAATGACATGATTGCATATAAGCACATCCAGTAGGCATATCAGAAAGAATTTCGTGCAAACAGGGGCAAGATACCAGGTACTCAGTACATATATACCACCTATAGCTAGTATATCTATATGAATTACCCTTTTCTTAATTTGTAATTTGCCTTGCATTAGCACGAATGAATCAAAGATTCTCAAGAGATTTTTTACGAACCACTTACCTGAGGGGATCATCCCCCTTCCAGCTACATAGGCCAGTATTCCTGACAGCGAAAACATGTTCTGTTTTTCTTAAAATATCTGCTACATGAAATTACATCTGAAGTGTTCGGTGTACATTACCTTGGAACATGTGTTGTTTTCGGTTCTCGTTTCCGACTTGCCCCATAGAGGGATGCGCCAAGACAGCCCGGTTCCATCGTTTATCAAATCCTTTCAAGCAGCAGTCCTGTCGATATTCACTCGACAAAAAGATCGGAAACATCTTTATTTTGAATAATTATAAAAAACATATGAGCTAAGGTAAATATTTTAACCAAATATTGATATATAATGCGCCCACTATTCGTTTCTATTTTATATACACTAAAGATTTTCTCGCAGATTTTTTATTATTGAAAAATAATTTCATGTTTCTGAACTTTTTTGGTCGAGTGAATAACAGGCCAGTGTACTCACTATCACAATCCAGAGAGCCCAGAGTGCGTTCCTGTTAACTTTTCTGCTAGACAAGGGCCTCTGGCAGAGAGAAACCTTCATTTAATTTTACCGATACATAGGCCTAATTATATAGGCCTATTTTTATTTTCATGACATTGTGAGACCGACTTTAACAAGTTATTATATTTTGCAATTTTCCTCTAAAATTACCAAAATGTATAATTTGCTGATCGTCTAACCAAGGAGTTCTAACACTTTGTTAAAATTCCATGGTCTAACCAATATAATAGAAGTAGTTCTTCGAAGAACTTATATAGCCTATCTATATCTATGCCAATATACCGGTATAAGGGCTCTGTCACACAGCTCAAAGAGGTCCGTATGAGTATCGTACGTGACATCGATTATACGCACAACTTTGAGCGTATGTGAAGGCAACACCGCCGGATTTATCCATACGAGACCAGTTTTGGTAACAACCACTCACCTTAAATGAGTTATGCCTGATTTAATTTGCATAACAAATAACAATAAATTGCTCATAGTAGTGCGGACCTTTTTCCCCAGTGCTCACATAGGCTACATGTAGCAGTTGGACAAAGTCGGGTGTAGACGAAATGTTGCGGTATGTGTGGTGCAGTCAAAAGGTCGAACTTTCGTGAGGCATAGATGCAAAATACATTATTGTGAGTATCACAATTATTTATTTATAATCTATTTATTCAGTCACCACAGCCATTAAAAACAAAAGGCGTAGGCGTACGAAAAAGTATTTATGACAAAATTTTACTACTGTTTCCATTGTTAGTTGTAGGTGATATGTCACTCAGAATGGTAGAATTTATTGGTTACAATGCAAGCTGTAAATGTGTGGGATGAACGGCTCTATCTTCTGACTTTGATGATTACCTACATGTAAGTTTGCTTGAAATCTTGTAGTTAATAAATAAATTAATTTATTTATTTATCATTTCGTTTACTTTGATATTTAGAAAACTTCATTTAGACAAACTTTATTTATAATAATAATAATAATTTATTGGGCACTAAAATGTTTCAGTACATTTTGCAAGCCCTCTAAACTACTTGTATATGGATACATTTAGTACAATCTAGACCTATTTATTTTATTATTTAGTTTACTCTGATATTGAGAATTCATTAGAGACTTACTTATCTGTATTCGTGACTTTTTCTTGTTCTTTTATTGAATCTCAAGATCGACAACATATATGATAACGATAAAAGAAAGAAAGAAAGAAAAGAAAAAATTGCAAATAGGCTGCAATATTTGATTCAATAAAATTTAAATTTTACCAAAGCTATGTGAAGAAAATTGTTCTAATGTCGTTTTAAAATAAAGAAAGCATAAGTTGTGACCAACATATCGTTTATTTCTCCATGATATATATAGAAAAAACTTACACGTAGTATAATGTACAATTCTATGCTATAATACGCGTTTGAGACACACAAGTTTTATCTGACATATCATAATATGTTCTCACATGTACAACTTTGTAGTATCTGCGGATTGTTTTGGCAAAAATACACTCTTGCAAGATCTTTACGATTAATATGTTGTATGCGTGTATACGTTAATAGTTGCTGAGAGAAAATAGACATAAGGTGTACTTTCTTTTCACCTGGGACTTTGTCCAAAAAAGGTAACTCTTTTGTTTATTGGTAAAATGCCGCAAACTGCAGCCCACGCTTTTCGTTGTTTTTCGTAGACCTATGTTTAATGTTAGTGGCTTTCCGACCCCGTATTATCAAATACAAGCTTCATACTTTATCTTCTTTGTGCATATCCTCCACCTTTTCATCACAATTAACTAATTCATACTCATTAACCGAGTTTTTACTCTCTTTATCAGACACAGAGTCTTTTTCATTGTCTTTAACAGACGCTGTCATCATTAAGAACTGCATTGTAGCAAACAAGCCGCCTGCGACAACGCCGCACGCTAATATCATATACATCATGGCATTGGGGCCGTAGTACTGCAGGAGATACCCTGCCAGCCATTGGTAGAGCAAACCCCCCGCTGCAGTTCCTATGTAAAGTACCCCAACAGCCATGCCGGTCACGGTCATGTAGTGATTGGTCCAGGCCACACACGCACCAAATATCACACTCACGGTCACACCGAACAGAAAGGTGAAAACCCACATGACTATACGGTCTCTATACCCGATAAATGCCAATATGGCGGATGATGTGATGTTGCCCGACAGGACGATCACCAGCAGAACGGCCGGGTGGACCCATTTGGAGAATAGTACGCCAGATATTCGCCCTAGACAAAACCCACCCCAGTAAACGGAATTTAGAACAGCAGCTTCATCTTTCGAGAAATGATTCTCGCTCTCTCTGGCAAAACTGAATAAGTATTTCCCCCAGCTATGCTCAACTCCTCCTATCCCATGAAAGTAAAACAGAAACAACAAAATGAAAATTTTGAAACCAAAAACGGTGTCCCCTTCAGCGCAAGTGCCCGGCGAAAATATATTCACAAATGTAGGATCCTTGATTTTAATTTCAACTTTAGGGAAGCGTTTAATTTGGAAGAACAAACCAAAGGGAATCATGACTGACAATGCTATGCCAGCAATACTATAGCCATACTCAATCGTTGATTGACTTACGACGTAAGATGTGCTGTTAGCATGGGTTATATTGTTGGTTATGTTGGACACTAAGGCACCAAAGACTGTCTCAAAGGCCGGGGTGGACTGCAATATCTGTAAATCAAGTGGACTGTGCGTAGACAAGTTTGCAAAAAGCGACATGTTTCCACCTTTCAAGCCGTCCGGAATCGGAGCGGATTTGGAGAGGAAGGGCTTCGCCACCAGGGGCGACAGGAAAGCCCCGATACCATACGAGAGGTGCAAGGAATACACCGATGGTGCCGTTTCTTCTCCCCATAGTCTCAGAATTACCACGTGGGCGCCTGAATAGAAATACAATATTTTCAAACAGAATTGCTTTGAGAACATGCCATGCTTTTATTATATTAACTAAACACTTGCTTACTGCATCAATAATCTGCTGCAAGAAAACTTTCACTGTTATAATTCACATAAACTGTGTAATCGTTTAACAGTGAACAGGCAGAAAAGCCTTTGTATTGCAACAGACAAAAGTAGGGCAAGTATATCATTTAGCATCATTTGTTTATCATTTTTTATCTGCTAGACCCTTTTTTTCTCTTTTTTCTTACCCGTGGCCAGTACACCTTCTGACATCCCCTGCAGGACGAACATAAACCAGAGAAGTGGTAAAACCGAACACCAGGGGATTATGAACGTTCCCACAGCAGCCACACATAAGAACGCAACAAGGATTAGATCCACGTGTCTTTGGAACCGGTCACATAGAAAGCCACCTCCAAATGACCCGACGAAGAAACCGGCTGAGCGTCCTATGACTGCTCTGGCTATTTCTTCGTAATTGCTGTCCACCCTGTCCTTCAGGTCTTGTAATGAGGGTCCTGTCAGCTCCAACGCCATTCCCTGGAAATTGATATGTTTGTTATCCATTAAATCTATGGTCTCATAATTAACTGAGTAAATGTCCGAAATGTGTGTGTGTGTGTTTGTGTGTGTGTGTGTGTGTGTGTGTGTGTGTATGTGTGAGTGAGAGAAAGAGAGAGAGAGAGAGAGACTTAAGAAAAACCGACATATGCCAGTATCTGTTTGAGGACACAAATATAACCCATTTAGATCACGTAGGTTCCTGCACAAATACATATTCAAAGTTCACATTTAACTTGCAAATCCCTGGTTCTGCAGTCCCCTGACCTCCCACGGGATCTGTCTATGCGATGACATGCGCATCATCAGAAGTGATATAAACAGTTTTTTGTGTCACATACATTGCACAAGTTTAGAGTGTAAAATAGCTTCAGATTAAGTGGCCGTATTGATAAGGGAGTTGTTGTCAGACTGAACTCTACCCCGCAAATAAATGTATGCTTTAGTAAATAAGTAAATGTTACATACCCCAAGTTAATCAAGACTTTTGACGTGTTAAGAACACGTGAATATTATACATGTACCACATGCTGGATGGGTAATGACGCAATTGTGGAAAAATGCTCACCGGATTGTACACAGCAAGTAGAGCAGCCATAGAAACATCTGTAATTATATCCAGTGTTAGGATTCGCTCTGTGACCCGTTATCCAGGTGCATTGCATTGTACATGGTTTCGGAAATTAAAGTTTTAACACATATAACATAGAGTGATTGATGTTTGAATACAAAACTCACCAGAGCAATCCAAATAAAGTTGATGTAAATGTTTTTGACCACCTTTGGCCATGCTTTCTTTGTCAAGCCATTCTTTTCAGACTCTGTCTTCTCTGTTGTTTTGTCCATAATGCTCAGAGCAACCGTGTTCTCTGCAGCTGTAAAGAGCTGCCTCCTGGGCTAAGAATATCTTTCTGCAGACAGAGAAGCTTGTTCTAATGTAGCTAGACGAATATTCTGTATCGTACAACCTGCCTTGTATACATTCACCAATCTGGCCTACTTCTGACGGGGTTCATTCAGAATCATTGTGTTATCTTGTGCCCGCTAAGCCCCAGGCTTTCCAAATACAAATAAACCTCTGAGTCAACAGACGGGAATGATAAGAACAGCCACTTGTTTCAGAACGGCATCAATGTTAATCATCTGAGGTAGCCTAAATCGGGACTGTCGGCATTGCCAGGAGACGGCACAGGGGCCAAGATACCTGTTAGAATCCGCATGAGGTGGAGCCCCATGTTACCTATCAGCAACAAGGCTGAAACACTACGCGTCGGGAATATAATTTTAGCAGTATACATGTAGCACTCAGATCATTTCCAAAAGTTTGGTTAAGTGCCCTAACTAGCGACGGAGCATTAGATTTTAGCACGGCCTTAAAGAGTCTATAGCTAGCGGCAGTTGGTCTTAAGGCCGAACTTTTTTTTTCTTTTGCATTTTGTAAAACAGGACTAACATCCCCATTTGAATGTACTATTGCTAATTTATGTCTTTGGGCAAACCGACTCAACTTTTCGGTCAACAAATTAAGATAAATTTTGTGAAACCGGCATCATGATGAAGATGCATCAAATGGACACAATGTTACAGTAAGGTCGTTAGGGAGCAAATTGATAACGATATATCAAGACTAATTCGACGCCGAAGATATCAACTATAGACATGAATGATGTTTTCAATGTCTTGCAGTGTCACAGCCGGGTTGGAGGGGGGAGTGTTTGCTACTATGCAGATATAAATGATGAGAAAGACCGGAAAAGACACTGGGGCATTCAGTAGTAAAAGGGTTTTCGAGCACCACGAAAAGAAGACTACGAGCTGGCGAATCGTGAGGCAAATGTTCTCTGATTAAGACCAATGTTTATTCCTTAATGTAAGTTAAACAAAGTATAATAATACATTTGGTTGTGTGCCGTGCCGGTATATCAACAACTGCTTTTGTCAACATACTTGTACATATTATCAAATACCACGTGGACACTAGAAGTCTTTATACGTGCATTGGGGATGTTCTAACGGTACTTACGTAAAATGTGAGAGTGAAGTTGATAATATATGGAATACATAATGAATATTATCTTCATTATTGTGTTTCCTATTAAAGCTTGGCCAAAATTAGGATGCAAATCACTACATTAGAACCGTTTACAAGCAGTGTGCTGACTGTTCACTGAACTGCTGTGAAGGTGCCAAAAACCTTTTCATAAAAATTAAATCATTATTGATGGTGTTAGTTACCGCTATGTGAACCCTACATATGCAATATTTGACGATAGATTTTATCAAAAAATGTTTCTTGGATACTATAACATAAACTCACAAAAACAAAAGTTTAAAATCGGTTCGACCAATCGTAGTTATATATTATTTATAAAAAAAATAAGGTACGGAATGAAGAAGCATGCACATAAAATAACCTAATTTTCTTGTTAACTAGTAGTACTTAAGGGAAATTAACCTTAAATCTCCCGCCAAATACACCCTTGTGTATTATAATAGCAAACAGATTGACTCGCTGACAAATAAAACTGCACTTTTTGAGACTGAATCATAAATCACAAAGCTTTTCCCCGATTCTTAACATGAAAATGCTTGTCTCTCAAATGTGCGAATTTTGTGCATGGAAACTGTCTTTGAAAGATGGCCGCACAGTCCAGTCGTCTGCGGAGTTTCGGGTACTCCTTAAAACTTTGTACAGCCCCATAAACAACGTATCAAACGGAAGACACTTAGTGAAATACTCTATCGGCTGGCCGATCGTCTGCTGCAATGAAAGAGGCCTGGAAAATGGAATTATTCAGAAATAAGTGACATTCGGTACCTCAAAGTCTTTGGGTGCTTTCCCAGAGATTTAGATCGATCTAAAGATTAAGTTTTAGATCGACCTAACTCCCTGGGGGTTCACGCTAAATTGCAGTTAGCCGAGCGGGCACCATAGTTAATTACCCCCTTACAGCTTTTAGTAGGCGGGACAGACGCTTAAGCCGGCCAAGCTGACAGTAATCTAGTGAGACTCCCCACAGGGATAGATCGATCTAAAAATCTATGGAAATGGGGTGTATCACTCTTTTATTTGGAATTTAAACACTTTAAAAATTAAGAAAGATTCTACTCGCTACAGGTATGTCATAATGTTATAGGTATAGTTCTACAAAAATAAAAAAATAAAGTTTGTCATACTACAGAAAATGTTTTCTTTCCTTTTTCTTTATACAGGAACATTAATAAAGTAGAGATCATTTCTTCAAATTAAAAGTTATAAAACAGTAAAATTTCACTCACTTATCTTTCAGGTGAACGTCCACATTTCTAATAAACCTCAACAAATCACATATGCCGCTTCCGTAGGGCCGCCTAGCTGTCATTGCGGAAACCAGTGCGGGCTCTATACACTGTTGCTAGAGAAAAAGAGGATTGACATAGAATAACTGGTAATTTATATGAAAGGAGTCTATTATTCAGTCTGTTATTCACACTGATAGAACGAAAATATCTAAATTGCCGTTCAGGAGCTAAAAGTACCCGAGTAGAACACTGTATAAACATTAATACATTTATACATACATTTGTATGAAAACTAAAGAGAAAACAACTCCTAGAATGAAATCTATATTTCACAATAAATACATTGTAAACAACTCATAGAAACATATATTATATGTTACCACAAAAACGGCAGTTATAGCAACAAATCTGAAATCTGTGCTTGCCATCCGACCACGTGACCTCCATAGATGGCTATACTTTCTTAAGAGATTATTACAAAAAGCAAAGTTTTTAGAAAAAAAAAAAAACAAGAACTAACTTCGAATATAGAAAAGGATAAATTAACCATTGGTAGGTATGGGAATATTGGTATTTACCCCAGAAAATTCATTTTCTGGCCAAAATGAACAGTTGTAATCCCTTTAAAAAGAAGCAAAATCACAGTTGTAACAAAGAGTTGTGGAGTTGAGAGGCTACTTACCCATTGAGTGCCACCAGCTGGCCATGTCGGCGTTATGTTGTCGATGCCTTGTACCACGGGATGGGCACGGTTTCTGGAACTGATCGAGAGGGATTTTACGATTACAGATGTGAATAGCTTGAAAACCATGCAGTGTGTTAATGCATCATAAACGTACCGATTGAGAGAATAAATGAATGAATCAATGAATCTAGAAACAATTGTAGAATCATGAACGTGGGTGATCTTTTACATGTATAGCTACATGTATGTCTCAAATTCTAAACAGATGAGGGTCACGCATATCTTAATTAAGTTCCACATGTTAGTCTGAAATACGAACATCATAATTATGAATATTGATTTGGGAATGGGTATTATGCAAAGTTAATTGAATTGTGAGAAATAAAAAGAACTCACCTTTCCTTTACTTCCTTCTCGTCTCCAACTGCTAGAACAAACTTGTACTGGCTTTCTGTATCCCAGAAAAATGGGTGTCTAAAATCGAAAGCAGACTGTGGAAAAACATGCCAAATGCAAGTAGTCACTTCATTTGAACGATAAATAAAGGTAAAACATCAGAGTAGTCTTGAAAAAATATCAACGTTTCGCAATACCACAGACACAGACAGCATATTTAGGTAATTTGTAAATTTTTGGAAAGTTCAACTAAATCAAAAATTAAAAATAATACAGAGCCGCTTACAGGTATATTTATTGTTGTAAAGTTAATGACTTACGCTTACACTAATTACAATTAGTAATAAAAGGGAAATCAAATAGATGAAAAGTTAGTGATATTGAGTGTAAATTAAGTTTCATCAAGAGTCAACAAGTGTAGAACATGTTTTTAGTGTCAGAAAAAGATGGAAAAGGTCAAAGTCAATAACATTTAATGTGATTGGTTAATTTCACAACAGATTTTAATTTTGATCAACTGTTTATCACATGATAAAGTTCTGAGTTTTGGACATGATTCAAGTATGAGTAATGCAAATAGTATTTTGGATAAGTTTAGTTGAAAACAAGGCTCTTAGACATTGCCTAATAAGGGAATGTTCTATGGTAAGGTCAACATGACAATGGAAAGTTTCTGGAAATCACGCCATAAACAATAAAAAGAACATAATTACACGCGTAATAGGTACGGAGAATTAGAGTATAAAAACGGGTAAAATTGTATGAAAAGTGAGTGGTGAATAAATGATTGAAGACTCCAGAACGTCGACGTCGTCGTTACAATAATATGAATAATGGCCACTTTGGTAAATACTTGTGAAGAACTATCTCATCTTCTAGATTTAAACATGTTACCACATTAAGATTAAAACATGCAATCACATCAATGCAATCGCTTACATCAAAACGTCCCTTGAATATGGTCTGTCTTCAGGATTAGGCGCTAACATCCATTCTATCAGATCACATGCAATGTCGTCTGCAAGCTGTGATACGTCATAGTTTCCGGTGACAATGTTCTGCCTGACGAAGTATAGGTCGGAATCGTTGTTTTGATCGAAAGGATGATGTCCTCCAGATAGGATATAGTACATCAACATTCCTGCTGTCTGTGGAGGTAAACAGATTGTGTTTTGTTTTTACAAAACTCCACGAAAAGTGGACAAATAAAACACAAAAATGCAAATCGCTGGCGTTATATAGGATGTGCTGCACTGATATTTCATGAAGAAACCGTGGAGCTAAAATGAATAAGCACGTTATTTTTTCATGTCATTCATGACACATAAAATGAAATGAAATGGAAGTTTCGAATTTCTCATAAAAATATCAGTTCAGAATTATCACTTTTAAGATATGCCTTAACCTCATAACATCATCTAATAAAATTTATAAAAATAGGTATCTTAGAAATTTTAGAATGATTCGAGAAAAAATTTCCCCGAATATTTGCATAGTCATTTCTTGAACTACCTGGATATCTGTCCTGCTGCGGTATGGCGCTGTCTGTGAATTAACTATTGTCTCCTTTGCCTGCCAACGCAGAGTTCCTAAAATTTTAAAATTTACTTTTAAGTAATTTAATGTTATATTGGACTTAAGCTTAGGAATAGTTGCTTCGGCAAACAATCCATGAAATATATAACTGCTTGCTTTTTAGAACTTTCACTACAGAGGATTTCAGGCAAATAAGATTCTTTATCATAAATAAGCTTGAATAGTTCATTATTTCAGGAAGGCTTACCAGCTGCCTCTGTGACTAAAGTGCTCTGGTCGGCGTTCAGTCTCCTACCGATTCCAAAGTCGGCCAATTTCGCATGTCCTTTGCAGTCAATAAGCACGTTCTGAGGCTGAGGCAGAAACAGTAAACGGAATATATATCGCCTAAATGAACGATTTAAATGTGTTATGATCTTTAAAATTTACAAAATCTAATCAATTACAATACTCAATTTTATAAAATGTACATCCTTTAACGTAAATGACATGAATATTTTCTAGACAAAGAAGGAATTGGGTTTTTCTATTGGTAAATACACTGAAATGGATCTGTTTAGTATAAAAACAATCCACGCCCGGGCCGATTTACTACCCACCTTTAAGTCCCTATGCAGTATTTTCCGCTCAGAACTGTGCAGTACATCTAATCCTTCCATAATCTCACGAACGAGCGTTGGACCTTTTTCTTTCAAACGATTGCTACGTTTTAAGATCTCA